GTTCTCTCCGTCTCATACCTCGCTGCATATGGCAAACCCTAGCAGATTACCAGAAAAGTGGCCCTCAAGCAGTGTTGTATTCAAGTCCATCACAAGTCCCTCCACAAGTCCAGTCACAAGTCCTTTCACCAGGCCAGTCATAAGTAACAGGGTGAACAATGACAAAAGAATGCTTTTGTCAAAGCTCATTTGAATAGCTATAAAATAGCTTGTGAATTGGCTTAAGATTGAATGACTTGTGATGGACTTTAATACAGGGACTTGCAGGGAGTTGTGATGGGCTCGAATACAACACTGCCCTCGTGGTTCACACTAGGCACAAACGCAAACACTAATGGGAATTTCTGATGTCAGTTGAGCACACATTTCAACTGGAGCTAAAATTTGCTGCAATTGTCGTGCCACTCCAAATACACTTTGCTTTTTCGCTCGCCTGAAGTATGAGCCGGCCTCAAGACTCATTTTTGCAGAGATCAGGTCGCAGCGGGTGATTGTGCGACTAAAAAGTGCGTGCACTCAGGTGTGTGTTCTCACATTTAGACTGGCTCCCAGTCCCTTCCATCAAAGTCTTCAGAGTATTTCGAGTACAACCACTTATCTGTGTTCTCCTTGCTGGCTGAACAGTGCCCCCTACAGTGCACGCACTGACCAATAAGTTCATCTGGCTGACAGGACCAGTGCCAACCACTGGGATCTTGGTTCACAGAAAAGAAAACTTCTCAAATCGTTTGGTGTTGGTTTACTGTGTAGATGCTGGAAAGACCCTGTAGGCTCCTCCTAGTGCAGGCCACATCCAAATCTTGCAGTTTAGGGCTATGGCTAGGTCTATGCCGAATGCACTATACATAGCCGTGTGCTGACAATAGACACAGCTGTAGCCTGTTTTGGACATGGCCTAGCTACCCTGGGTCTGTTCTCCATCCCGGGTCAGTACTTGGCCTTGAGGTTCTTGTTCTCTTCCCGCAGTCTCTCAATCTCTGCCAGGAGGCCCTCATTGATGGAGTACTTCTGCAACAGTTCCTGCATCTCATTCTTTTTTAGGAAAAAGAAGAAAAATGAAGCGCAAGTACAGACTTTTTTCACCCACGTGACTTTGTAAATGTAAACAATACCACCACCGGTGGACCGCCTTGGCCATGGTGATTGCATATATGCCTACGGGGCATCTTCAACCACGTGCAAGCGCATGCGCGAACGCTGCATACTTGCCTAGTTTATCTTGAATAAGTAGATTACCATCACAACACTATGCACTCATTACCATCACAACACATCATAGGTCAAGCACGATTGTGACATCACTGGAAAAAGGTCTACATGTGGCCAAGGGGTAAAACTCAATAGTATCTACACAATGCAGTTAGGTATTGGCTATTGGCTAGTACTGTCTCGTACGTGTATTTCAACAACAGTTCCTGTCTTGGGTTTGCGCGACTCTCAGTAGCAGTGTGGTAAGGATTTGTTTGGCTGGCAGGTAGAAACATTTCAGGGAGGTGGCAGCAGTACTGGCGAGGTCTTTTTTTCCGTACATGCAAGATGAAGTGAAGCATACTACTGATCTGAATGAATTTGATTTTAGCTTGAAGTCTGAAATCCCCACGTCTATTCTATGTTGGCGCTTCCCAAATCTGCCTGAATTCAATGCTGTGCAGTTCAACGAGGAGTCTTTCCTCGCCCTCCACCTCTACGACTCGGGTTCAGATCCCAACTGGGCCAGCATGTGGATTTGGTTTTAGTCCCTGCCTGATTCTGCAAGTTTTCCCTGGAATATTAATCTAGGGTTTTCTTTTCACCTCTAACGTGTCTAAAACGGAACATTGCTTCATTGTCTTCTAAACTGTCCCTTCATCCTGTGATTGGAGCTAAATGTCCTGTTGGATGAACTGATATAAATGAATAAAATAAATTAATAAGTTTCACTTTCACTAGACGTCAACTAAACCAGAGCGCTGTTGTGCCTGCACTGTCTGGTCCTGGATTCAGCCAAATACTGCATTCCAACCTGCTAGACACTGCTGTCATTTCATTCAGTGCGCGCCTACCTGCTGGATCTGAAACTGTCGGACCATCTCCCCCTGTAGATGCAGAATCTCGCGGTGAAACGACTCCCTGGTACATCCAAACAAAATTCCAAAGACAAAACAAATTTCAAAACAAGAAGCAAGACTTTATACCCCATAAATTAACGACTCAAAAAGTTTACAAAACCGTTTACAAAGTTCAATTACGCAGCATTTGATAGCAGCCTCTCCTACTCTGCACGCCTGAAAAAACATCTATTTGAAGCCCAAAATAAAAGACTTTTACATGAGTTTGTTGTTACAAAAACCTTGTTGCATGAGAAACTGAAACATTACCACTTGGTTTTCTAATCTCATCCAGCATTCCAATCACACTGCGTTTAATAACTGCACAAGTTTATGTATTGGCTACGCAACGAAATATGTCTGTTCATCTAATAATTTGAACTTCTGCACGCGTACATGGAACTTGCAGGTCTCAATGGTGTTCTGTCAACCTGAAAATACTGACGGCTACAGGGTTGTTTCAAGCTTCATCCCAAAGTGAAAGAGAAAAATTTCCTGCAACGACTGTCGTATCAGTTTGTTTGCTGTCACCATCACAAATCTGCTTCACCTTGAAGTTCTTGCCAAGCATAAGTGAGACTTTCCAACCTCAAATGTGAATACTTAATACATGCACTTGTTTTTCCAAAAGGCGGTATCATTTGTCTTGACTCCCTAGGCCTTTGGGCAAGAAAATCGATTCCTTAAAACTCCTCTACCAAACAGGCAAAGTTCTTTGCCCTTCCATTTTCAAAGAAGAGTACCATTCAAAGTAACGGTGACTGGGGCTCTCTACCTTCTCGACTCCTACAAAATTGTCTAAAAACTTCCAGGTGGAATTTGAAAGATCTGAAAAGATTGGGGTGAAAGAGGAATGGAAAATATGCATGGAACAGGGGGGGCACCGTGAGATCGTTTCCGCAGGGATAAAAGCAAATTAAACAAAGAGTAACTTGAAGCTGCACCCTGAGGTGGCCCTTTATTAACCCTCCTCAAACCTTGAGGGGAACTTCGAGGTACCTCCTGTACAAGTCTGCCCTTAGCCTCTTACTTGAATTCCTCCAGTGAGTCGTCAATCATGTTCTTGATGAACTGAACCTGGAAGGGTTGTAGGCTGGCCATGCCCTCTGACGCCCTTGGCCCATCATCTTGAGGGTCGGCCAGGGAGGTTGGGGGACCGACCCTGGACAGCACCCCAATGTCTCCGTTCACAACCTTGCGGGCGGCAGCGTCTGCCGAACCCCCCAGGAGTCCCCTGGCAGGGGAGTTTCCCCTCCGTGGTGATACACCTTGCATATGAGGATGAAATTGTTGTTTAGCAATGCTTCATAAATCTGTTGATGTACTTATTCAGGAAGTGGTGATTTCTTTTCCTACAAAAATTGCTACAAAGACCAAGATTTATGAAAAGGGAGACAGTATGTCGGCCTTGTCAGGTGAGAACAGCCATCCCTAATGTGACAACAGACAAAACAGAGCGGCTTTACCATTTTGCAGTGTTGTGGTTGAGCAATTATAAGCCCTTTGAAATCTATCAAAAGCCATTCAGTTTCGAGTCGCAAACGATGCAAATGAAGGATGATTCCTGCCATTTACACTGTGACTGAGCTTGCTAATAATATTGTGACAGATTGGTGATTGGATTTGAACTTGGCAACTCTGACCATTGCTCTGAAATGTGACCAACCCCCCCCCCCCGATGAGTTTTACACCCATTTTTCAGTTTATTATTTGGAATACCGTCCTGCTGAGAATGAATATTATGTGTGTGACCCATGTTCAGGGTTCCTGCTATTTATACAGTGTGCAGGATTCGTTTGAAAAACGTTAACTCCAAAGTGGCTCTGACGAGTTCCCGTTCATTCCATTAGGTTGGGTCACAAAAGCATGAAGCCGCCATCAGCAAATAGTCGCAAACTTAGCCCAGGCTTTCCTTGTTGAGATCGGACTTGAGAAGCAATCTTTGGAAAGGCCCAACAATGTCTGGGGAGGTCCTTACCTACTGGTTTAGCATCTACTTCCACTGTTGATGCTATTACGCTTGCCTTCGCCCGGCCGGGCCCAAGTCCTGCTGTCGCTGACAGCCCTATATTCCGTAACCTTGGAGGCTCGCTCTCCGGGCCCGAGGAAGCTCCTGGCGAAACGGCGGCAAAGTCTGGCCCGAGCAAGGGGGAGCGCGGACTGGTGAGCGACTTGCTCCGTTCCCTTCTGGGGCTTGCTGCCTGCTGAGCTGGCAGGTCCAGACTGAATTCTGGTTTGCTCACGGGCTTTGCTTGACTACTTGAGGAGTTTGTTCTCAAGGGCTGTTGGCAAAACAGAAAAACGGAACAACACTTATAACCATCACCATCGCAACACTTGCAAACTTGTGAGGGTTTGAGTGTACCACGGGCCACCACAATTATGGCTCTACACAGGCACAAATTGGGAACAAATAATTTTCCTTCCCTTTGTGGTATAGTCCCCTGTTCATTTCTGACCTTTGAGCTAAGCGCCACTGCTTTTCAGAGTTATGAGAGTGAAAAAAAACACACACACAATGTCTCTTCCATTGTGGCACAGTAAAACAGACTGTGTGAATAAGCAAACTCTGGTTACATTTCTTGAATCAAGCAGTTTCTACTTTTGTTTCAGCATTGCGCACTGAGGCACTGATCTTCAATGGAAAGGAGTCAAAACTAGAGTCAAATTGACACGGAACTATAGCTGAAAGGAGGAAGGATATTGAACAACTTATGCACAGGTCTTGGTGTAGTACTGTCAATTTCCACCATGAAAAAGGTACCTCTGAGCATCAGCACAGGGGCGATATTCTGCATTATGATCTTGTAAAATTTTGCATTTTCACTACCGAAGGCACTGAAGGTGCCAAGGGTATCAAAGGTGCTGAAGGTGGTAAAGGTGCTGATCATGCCAAGGATGCTGAAGGTATTAGGGTGTCGGATGTTGAAGGAACTGAGGTATCAAAGGTGCTGAAGGTGGTAAAGGTGCTGATCATGCCAAAGATGTTAGAGGGTATTGCATGTTGAAGGAACTGAGGTATCAAAGGTGCTGAAGGTGGTTAAGGTGCTGACCATGCCAAAGATGTTAGAGGGTATTGCATGTTGAAGGAACTGAGGTATCAAAGGTGCTGAAGGTGGTTAAGTGCTGACCATGCCAAAGATGTTAGAGGGTATTGGATGTTGAAGGAACTGAGGTATCAATGGCACTGAAAGTTCTGAGGTTTTTCAAAGGTGCTGAACTTGGCCAGGGTTGTGAGGGTGCTGGGGTTTTAAAGGTGCTGAAGGTGTCACTGCAGCTGAACGTTCCAACAGTGATAAAAGTGCAGAAAGTACAGGTGCAGAGGCTTCCAAGCTTACTGAGACTGCATTCAAAGATGGGACATCAGGACCATTCTGGACCCGTATCTCCTTAGGAACGCCCTTTGTGACTGGTTGAGGGGTGGTAAATGCTGGTTGCGGCTCCAGTTCCACCGAGCCAATCGGATTTCGCCTTGCAGAGATGTTGGATGTGTTCTCAGACAGTGGTGAGAAAAAGTCTGGAAAGGAAAAATCAAATAACAGCCAGCTAACTCACTTGAATCATATTTTCTAAAAATTTAGAATGTCTGATATTTTTGATATTTGGCTACAGATAGAGGATCACTTCCAATCTTTTTCACATTTCTGAAGATAGATACAAGGTGCCATAGAATAAAATTGAGAGTGAAAAGCCCCCTGTGTTGTCAACTCACAAGAATATGCGCGCCCGCATTCATGATTGCAAATCTTGTTGGGTACTGTGGGATGAAAAAGCAGAGGTACGAGCCCCAAGCTCCATACACACAAAGGCTGAGTTTGGGGGGCTTGTTCTCGTATGTTCACGAACAACTCAATTTGTCGTTTGTGGGTCAGCTGCTCAAACAAACAACCACTTATTGCTGGTAGTTAGTGGCATGTAACATGCAACATGGCAGCGTTCATGTACGTTATTCGAAAGTTAATGTTTAGATGGGCAGAATTCTTTTTTATTTAAACAGGAATATTCATTTCTGTGTTATGAAAAAATAATTAATGTTAATTTTGCAAAACTTCCCATTGTTTCTGGCTTTGGAAGCCATCTCTGTACTTTTTGCAGCTGTTGAAAAATCAAAATCTCACGAGTTTTCCTGTGTGTTCCTGTAAACCTGACAAGGAGGTAGTGTGTGATCCCGTTCTGAGAACAGTGTTCTCGAGTCGTGTTCCCATCATTCGAGCATGAGAACAAGAAACCTGTGTCACCAACAGGCCGCCAGAATTCGACCAAAGAGAGGGTGCAATTTTCCTGGCTACCAGTACAGAGGCTCTTCACTGGTCCACAGTCACATCGCTACAAACAAAATGAACACTTCCCAGCAACATGGCTCTTGTCCACCGATGAGAAGGTGCTTCTGCTTGTAAAGGCAGACAGGCCAAACCCACAGCCACAGGTAACAGTGGCTTAGGCTGGGTCTGAAAGTCATGGCTACGGCTCGCAGTAAAATCACACTCATCTACTAGAGATAGCCGCAGCCAGTAGCCTGACAGGCTGTCCTATTAAGTACACTATAGGCCATAGACAGCATATTCAGACCAAACCTTACCCGGTAAGCTGTCTCTGGACTGGACTGGAGTCCCTTCGGCTTTGCCCACGGTGTCAGGCCGGCTGATGTGGTTGATGCCTTCAGGGTGTTTGACGGCAGGAACTGTGCCTAAAAGTATTAAAAACTGCGTCAACTGATTTACTAAAGGCTGTTCAAACTTTTTTTATCCTGTTACATCATTTTAAGTGAAACATTCCAATTTGCTAGGTTATCAAGAGAGAAAAATTGAATTTTTAAACTCAATAGACTATAGGGAAACCGCCGACGTACGGTCTATCAAAATAATTTCAGGAACTTTGTGAGTTATTGCTTGTTTTCATATATGAGGTCAGGTCTGCAGTTTAGGAGAAACACGAGCCATCTTCCAAACCTCAGCTTAGTTTTCCTTTTGGCTTTATCTCGAAGTTGATTGTTTATTATTAGCACAGAACGTAAGCACACAGAACTTCAGCTGCATGCTAGACAATGTTGTCTGAGGCAAGAAAAGGAGCTACATTGAACTAGAAGGACTAAGTATGTGAAAAGCCCAAAGCCTGGGGCTGCATCCAAATTGGTTGTCTAGAGCTAGGTCTAGGTCTCTGGGCCATTAGCAGTACACAGAGACTCGCTGACAATAGACGTAGCCGTAGCTCTGGAAGCCCATTTTGAACATGGCCTACGGCCCACTCTAAAGCGATGTCTTGGGAGTTCCCCTTGCTACCTTCTCTTAACGGGGATATGATGTCCTGATTTTCAATATCCTCCTTGGGTGACGGCCGGTTTGCACTCCCTCTCGTTTGCTCCGGTGGCTTGCTGACGTCTGAATCTGCGGCTGTCCTGCTGCCCCTGTGGATGGTGGGATTGACCAGGGCCACCCCCGGGGTTGGCTCTGGAGGCTTCTGGCTGCCCCCCACTGGCTGCGCTGGCTTGCTGCTTTTGCCACTCACTCCATTGCTCTGCAAGTAGATTCAGGGGGAAAAAGACGATTTCCTGCTGAGCTGTTGACAGAATTCGCAACAAGGGCCAAACAATACGGGCAATTCAAAGTAGTGTGCCCCCAAGAACTTGCAACGTGTTGACCAATCACAGTGCACGAAATCTGTCCACCCTTTCCAAATGCGCATTGGGTAGACAGATTTCACGCACTGTAATTGGACAACGCGTTGCAAACTCTTGGAGATGCAATATCAGGGGCGAGATTGACCAAAGATAAAAATCACTGAAAACAGCTGGAAAAGGCATAAAGAAGCTGAACTGTGAAAATCTCTTATACTTTTGTACACAGCCAATGAGGAAAAAAAGCTGAAATCCAAAACAAAAAAAGGTGAAATCAGCTAAAAAGCTGACCAATCTCAACCCTGCACTATTGTGAAACGCCCATATTCACTAGATGTTAATCCACTCCGAGCGCAACAAGAAACGGCATATTTTTTTGGTACCCATCGCATCAGTGGGCGTTTATGATCAAAAAAGCGCTTGACGCAGAGCCGATGTACCCTCGTCGTTGAGCCGTGCTGAAACTGCACGCACTGCACCGAGGACTTGTGGCCGTGTAGCACCCTGAGCGGGCTGGAGCCTGTCCTCAGGTCAAAGATGTAGACCTTGCCCCGGGTGGAGCCTACGGCCAGTGTGGCGCCATCGTGCAGGCAGGAGATGGAGGTCAGAGGGGACTCCACTGTCATGCTCTTGATTATGCTGGAAAGTGAACATCACGCAGGAACGGATGAGACAGACTTCATTATTGAAAGGAATCAATTATACAATTACACCGAAGACCTACAGATTAAAGCTTTGAAATCACTCAGCCTTATAAATTATTCTAATCAAAATAACAGATATCTATTATGGCGTTTGTAACAAGGTCAGAGTGCTTCACGTTTAGTATTATCTCTACTTTATTGTGCCCCGACTATATCCTTTTTACCATTTCAGCTGAATCAGGAACATTCGACTCATTGTCCAGCCTTTTGCCTAAAAGGCCTCATGCGAATGGGACTTACTGTGAAGGCCCACAGCTTAAAGCAACCCACACTTATTACCTAGGACCTACAGC